CCGCCTTCCATTCACGTGGAGTTCGCCATCGCCGTTTGGAATTTGCAAACATCCTTTCCCCCCTCTTCTCCTGCCCGCCCTGCCCTCCCTCCCTCTCTTCCTCCCTCTCCCCCCCTCTCCCCACTCTCCCCTCTCTCCCTCCCCCCCTCTCCCCCCCTCTCCCTCCCTCCCTCCCTCCCTCTCTTCCTCCCCCTCACATGCAGTCACTCGTCTGCGGTTCGCCTTTAAACCCCCCACTCACCCACCTTCCTCACCCACCAGCGCATTCCAACCAAGATCCACATCCTCGAGCGGGCAGCCTACCCGCCGTACAGCCGCCGCCAGCAGTGCCGCACCCCTGGAGCTGATGCGGTTGTGAGCCAGACACAGCGCCGCCAGCGCGCCGCCGCCACTGCCGCCGCCAGATCCTCCTCCTCCTCCGCCGCCGCCCATTCCCGCAAGACCTGCAATGAAGTGGGCCGAACGGAGAACAGCTGATTAAACCAATATTCATTAGGTGATACGTAGTACGACAAAAGCACAAGGGTTAATCACTTGGCTCACGGCATCACTCCTAGTGCACGTTAACCCCCTACCAGGCGGAATCCGTTGGTCGTTAGTCGGTAGTTGTTAACACAACATGGGGCCTAACGTGCCATCTCCCCATGCGCGTGACTTGAGTCTCAGAAAAATATACATACATACATACATACATACATACATACAGGGATGTAGACTGGGAGGCAGACAGAGACGCAAAGACACGTACCCGAGGCGGCGACGGCAACGGTGAGGACCGAGGCGGGTGCCAGTGGTGACCCACGGGTCATGAGGGCCTCCACCGCGGAGTCATCTGCGCCCGTAGCCGCCAAGTTGAGGCTGGTCACGTGGGGAGCGTACGACAGCGCGCTGCACAGATCCCGTACGGCCTGTACGGCGGAAGTCGGGAGGAAAGTAAAGGCGAGCTCATGCTGTAAATACGAGCGCTGAAATCAGGTTAGTGTTATGGCCAGGCTCACGTGGACGGGTCCATCCACTTGATGTGCGGTGGAAGTCGGGAGGGGGCCGGAGGGGGCGGATTAAGATAAACAGCAGCAGCAGCAGCAGCAGCAGCAGCTATCGCCTACAACACACTCTTTTAGCGACTTTGTTTTGGCTCTCTCTCTCTCTCTACCGAGGCAGGAGGGACACAGCGATATGTGAGCGGGCGAGGTAAGCGTTCACGCAGGCAGGACAAGGACCAGGAGGAGGACCCTGACACCGCACCCTAACACTAAACCCTAAGTGCCAAGGGAAACCTCATACCTCGGGCCCCAGGTCGTTGTACGACAGATCAAGGTGGCGTAGTGTCCGTACAGTGCGCATCATTGCTGTCACCGCGGGCACACACCGACGGCTCGCCTCATTGTACGACAAGTCCAAGTACGAGATGCGACTGGGATGGTTGGCTAGCTGAGTGTAGCTCCGCGAGAGCGCCTTTTCAGCAGGAGGGGGGAGAGGGGAGGGAGGAGGGAGGGGGGAGGGAGGAGGGAGGGGGGAGGGAGGAAAAACGAAAAATTGGAGAATCGGGCACGTGTGCCATATCGTTTGCCGTGCTCTGCTCTCCCTTATCGTACTATTATGTCGTACAGTACGGCCTACATTGGTGAAGGGGGCATTGCGTCCTGCTACCTTTCAAGAAAATTCACCTACATCAAAAGATCGCGATCCGCTCTGTTAACTTGCCGTGCAGCTTTCTGCGTGCCCGAACGCGTAGTGTCAAAATTCAAAAATTCAAAAGTTTTCCGGGATTAGGCTTCTGCATTTGGAAGCGAATGTGGGTCTCCCTTCTGTCTGTCAGCGTAACCCAGCAATCCTAAGCTCCCCCCTCGGACACGGCACTCCACGGCACACCTCCTAGCCCCCATTTCCTTACTTCATATCGCCTTTAAAACCCCTTCCCCCTGAAACACACACACACACACACATACAGAGACGCATACAGATAAACGCCGTGAACACCACCATTCTTTCTTCACCTTGCACAATTCCTCCACTCCCACGTCACCCAGTCCGTTGTACGACAGCCGCAACGTCTCCAGTTGGCCCTGCTGATCAGACAGAGCCGAGCACAGAGCAGCCAGCGCCGGACCCCCACTGCCTCCACTGCCGTTGCTGCCACCACCAGCACCACCACCAGCACCGCCACCAGCACCAGCACCACCGCCACCGCCCAGACAGTACCGGATCCTGCAAGACAATACGGCGGCGCGGTGATAGCATCGATGCTACGTAACGGCCAGGTAGGCAAGCGGACAAGTGCTCGTACAAAGTAACGAACTTGGACGAACGGTGCCGAATACATGAGGGCATACACCGCAGCGTACACCACGACTATCACACGTGTATCACACGACTGCCGCAGCGCACACCGCAGCCCACATGCCCCCCCCTGGAGATCTCCCGCCGCCCAGTACCCGGGTATCACGGACCCCACACTACCGCATGATTCCGTCCGCCATTCACCACGTGGAATACACAGCCACCCCACTTCTTCATTCCATGTCTCGCATCTCACAACACAAACACCCTACACCGCTGCCCTCACCCTCACAACCCCCCGCACCGCACACCACCGCGCGCCCTCTGCCGCAACTCGCCGCAAACACCTCCGTAACCCTCCCCTACCTCTCCCCTACCTCTCCACACACGTCGCCCTGCATAGGAGTGACCCCTACCTGATGGTCGTGAGGCTGTTGTTGACCTTGATTGCGGCCCCCAGCGCACTCCAGCCGCCCGCACTGGCCCACACGCTGTCCAGCACCAGCGACCTCAGGTGCTCCGAGGCGTGCAGGGCCCCGCTCAGGTGGCCTTAGGAGGAGGGGCGGAAGGGGAGGAGGGGTCAGGAGGGGAGGGGATGAGGGATGAGGGAGGTGAGGAAGGAGGTGAGGAAGTAGGGGAGGACGGAGGGGA